GTGTGATTCCCAAGCTCAACGTGGACGTAGCTTGCTCAGATTGAGCAAGTGAACCACGGTAAATTCTTTGTGTTCTTGTGTGTGTGGTTGTGATTCTTGGTTGTGTGAATTTGTGGTTGGTTGATTCTCTGTGTGTGTGGTTATAACAGTGGTATCAGAGCATTAGGTTACAAGAAATTAGGGAGATATCGGGTTTTAATTCCAATATGAGATTTCTAGGGTTTTATAGAACAATCGTTAAATTGGGGCTTTCTCAATTTTAGGATTTAGAAATGAAATTGGGAACTAGAAGAGTGCTATTTTGAACAAATTAGTATAGATCTCACTAAGAGTATAAACCTAGGGTATTCCCGTTTCTTGAAGTTCAAAGAACAGAGTTTAGTTCTTGATCTTTCTATCTCACAAATCAATCAAACACTTCACCATGACAAATACCACCACCCGAATGGAAATCTCCCAATATGATGGGAAGATTGACTTCGGGAGTTGGAAGAAAAAGATGAAAGCGTTGCTTTCTCACAAAAAGGTGGCCATCGCACTAGAAGGGGACTCCAAGAAGTGGCCAAAGGAGAAGCTAAAGAAGAAAGAGGAGATCGAAGAAGAGGCATACAACTTGATAGTCATGAATCTATCCGACAGCGTCCTCAGGAAGGTAGATAGAATCGAATCACCGATTGAACTATAGGGTAAACTCAACACCTTGTATGCTTTGCAATCTGCCCCCAACTTAGCTTTTTTAAAAGGGGCTTTATTTTCGTATAAGATGGATAGTGCTAGGAGTATAGATGAAAACCTAGACGAATTTCTAAAAATGACTTTGATCCTGAAAGGGGCAGACCAAGCACTAGGGGAAACGAGTCTAGCCATGATCCTACTAAACTCCCTGACTGATGACTACTAGGTAGTCAAGAATGCCCTACAGTACTCTGGTACTGTACCAAGCCTTGACCTAATAACAGTAGGACTTAGGGCCAGAGAACTAGAACTAAAAACCCAGAAACGAAATGGCACAAACCTGTTTGTTAAGAGCATAATAGAATCTAGTCAGACTGGGAGGGGAAATCAAACTCATCAGGGGGCTAGAAATAAGAAAAAATGGAAGGGCAGTAACAAGCATAGAGTATAACCTAGAAAATGCTTCTTTTGCAATAAAACTGGGCACATTAAAAAGAACTGTTTTGAATGGATTAAAAAGCAAAAACAGGGGAATACAGAGAATAACTTAGCCACCTCTAAAAACCTATTAGACGAACCTGAAGTCTTGACTGTGTCAATGTCTGACATTGGTGAAAAGTGGGTGCTGGGCTCAGGGTGTTCGTTTCACATGAGTCCTAAAAGAGACTGGTTCCAGGAGTTTGAAAACACTAATAATGAGACTATCTACATGGGAAATAATAATGCATGTAAGGTAAGAGGGATAGGCATAGTGACACTAAAGGTTAACACTAGGAAGTTGATCAAACTAACTAGGGTAAGGTATATCCCTGAACTTAAAATAAACCTGATATCCCTAGGCACCTTAGATGAATCAGGATGCTGTTATAGATAAAAATGGATGTTTGAACATTTACAAAAATAACAACCTAATACTGAAAGGAGAGAAGAGAAATGGGCTTTATATACTCTGTAGGAACCATTCCCAAAACTGTTTTAATTATGTGTTTATATCCACTTACCTGTCTAATACAGAGAAATGGCACCATAGATTAGGCCACATGAGTAAAAGAGGAATGGACATCTTGAAGCATAAATGACAGTTTGGTAAGGACAAGGTTTCATCACTTGGATTCTGTGAGAATTGCATCTTAGGCAAACAACATAGGAACAGTTTCACTAAGGGAACACATCTAGCCACTAACCAACTAGAGTACATACACTCTGACCTATGGGGGCCTGGGAAAGTGAAAACTCATGGGGGAAATAGCTATTTTATGTCTCTAGTGGATGATTACAGCCATAAGGTGTGGGTGTACCTACTAAATTCAAAGATCAAGCCCTAGCTAGGTTTAGGGACTCGAAACTCCTAGTAGAGAACCAAATGGGAAAAAAGGTGAAGCTTCTTAGAACTGATAATGGGTTGGAATTTGCAACCAAGAATTTGACAAATTCTACAGTGAGCAAGGGGTTTTGAGACATAGCACAGTAGCATACACCCCACAACAGAATAGAGTGGCAGAACAGATGAATAGAACCCTCCTTGATAAAGTAAGGTGTCCATTAGTTACCTCTAAACTCCCCAACTCCTTTTGGGGAGAAACACTTACCACAGTAGCACATTTGGTAAATAGGAGCCCCTCCACATCAATAAACCTAAAGTGTCCAGAAGAAATGTGGACTGGTAGAAGTCTGAACCTAAGCTACTTAAGAGTTTTTGGTTGTGCAGCCTATGCACACACCATAGGAGGAAAACTGGAACCTAGATCAATCAAATGCAATTTTTTTTTGGGGTATCAAGAAGGGACTAAGGGTTACAGACTGTGGGATAGGGAATCCCCTGGAGTGAGAATTATTGTGAGTAGAGATGTGAAGTTCAATGAGGGAGTTTTTCCTTGTAAGGAAAATAACACTAATGCGGGTCCTTCTTCAAGCTCACAAGATGTCTTTAGCCATCCTGAGGTTACATCAATTAAGGTGGAGCCTCCTACTTAACTCTAACAACCTCAAGGAACTGAATCCATCAAAGAAATTAAAGCTGTTACTGAACCAGAAGGAGAAATCGGACAATCTGATCCAGAACAAGAGGATGAGACAGAAACAGTAGAAGAAACTAAAACACAGCCTGAAAACTTGCAAGACTACTAGCTTGTAAGAGACAGAACCAGAAGACAGGTAAAGGCACCCACAAGGTACTCATATGCGGATCTAATTTACATTGCTCTTCTTGCAGGTATTGAAGTGTAAAGATCAAAACTTGAAACTTATGAGGAAGCCATGCTGTCAAGGGAAAGGAACAATTGGAAAGCTACCATGGAATCAGAAATGAAGTCCTTAGAAGTGAATAGAACTTGGAAGCTTGTAACAAAACCAAAGGATAAAAAATTAATACAATGCAAGTGGCTGTTCAAATTAAAGGAAGGTATCACTGCCAAGGAACCCTTTAGGTACAAGGCTAGATTAGTAACCAAGGGTTTTACCCAAAGGGAGGGAATAGACTTCAATGAAGTCTTTTTTCCAGTAGTTAAGTACAAAACCATAAGACTAATGCTATCCATAATAGCCCACTAGGACTTAGAGCTAGAACAGTTAGATGTTACAACTGCGTTCCTACATCGAGATCTTGAGGAAGAGATCTACATGAGCTAACTAGTAGGATTCATAGATCAAAAGGCCTATAACAAGGCCTGTTTACTGTTGAAATCCCTATATGGCCTAAAGCAATCTCCTAGGCAATGGTATAAGAGGTTTAACACCTTTATTGTAGGTATAGGTTCACTAGAAGCAGGTATGACAACTGTTTCTACTTTGCTGTTAGAAATAACATGCCTATTTACTTACTATTATACGTAGATGACATGCTACTGATAAGTAAATCAAAGCCCCTAATATGTGAGTTAAAGAATAAACTCAATGCTGAATTTAAAATGAAAGACCTAGGGGATGCAAGGAAGATTTTAGGCATGCAAATTGATATGAATGGGAGCAAATGTAAACTAAAAATCCACCAATGCTCATACCTGCATAAGTTAGTGGAAAAGTTTGGAATGGCAAGGACTAAAACTGTTTCAATGCCTCTAGCTAGTCATTTCACACTTAGTAAAGCACAATGCCCAAATATAGATGCTGAATTAATTAAAATGGAGTCCATACCATATGCAAATGTAATTGGGTTCTTGATGTATGCTATGATTAGTATTGGGCCAGATTTGTCATTTGTGATATCTTTGCTAAGCAGGTACATGTCCAATCATGGTATGGAACACTGGACAGCCCTGAAATGGGTGCTTAAATATGTTAATGGTTCATTGAATGTTGGATTGGAATACTGTAAAAGGACTACCTCACTTGAGTTGGCTGGTTTTGTAGATTCAGATTTTGCAGGTGACGGGGACACTAGGAAGTCAACCACAGCATATTACTTCACCTTGGGTGGTAATTGCATCAGCTGGAAGTCACAGCTACAGCCATAGTTGCACTGTCATCAACCGAAGCTGAATATGTGGCTGTGGCTGATGTATTTAAAAAGGTAATTTGGCTTAAAGGGATCCTGAGTGAAGCAAATCTGACTGCACAGAAGCCAACCTTATTTTCTAACAGTCAAAGTGCAATCCACTTGAGTAAAAATCCGGTGTATCATGAACGGACCAAACACATAGATGCACGCTACAATTTTGTGAGGGATCTGGTCACCAGAGAAGAAATAGCACTAAATCAAGTTCCTACTGAGCATAACCCAGTAGACATGGGGACGAAGATTGTTATACTTGCTAAGTTCAAGCATTGCTTGAACCTACTGTCCATTAAGTAAGCAAGGGTAACAATAGAGCTATGAAGGATTCATGTAAGGCAAGCTGCACTGATACAGAGAGTTTTCAACCTATCAAGGTGGAGATTGTTAGTGTGATGGCTTGAAACATTGTTGTTTTATAGCTTAAATGAGACGACGTCGTTATGAGCATAACTGAAGAAGCAATCCTGAGCGTTGATGAAGAGAAGATCCAAAGGCTGGAAATTAACCCTTCTGTCAACCATATAAAAGCTGAACTTTTTGGCAGATAGCAACATAGTAATTTTGCGTGAACTCTCTCTTCTTCGTGTTACAAAATCAAGTCTGTTAGGGTTTATGATTTTGGGTGTTTTGAATCTTGTAACTTGTTGATTGAGTGACTAGGTCAGGTCATTCTGGGAGTATTTGTATACACAGTCAGTAGGGATTCGAAGGGTAGAGTCTCTAGGGTGAGTTACAGGTTGAGGAAGAGATTTAGAGGGTTTTCGTTACTGTGTGTAATCTGGACTGTAATCTTGATAGTGTTTAGTGCAGCGAGCTTGTGTGATTCCCGAGCTCAATGTGGACATAGTTTGCTCAGATTGAGCAAGTGAACCACGGTAAATTCTTTGTGTTCTTGTGTGTGTGGTTGTGATTCTTGGTTGTGTGAATTTGTGGTTGGTTGATTCTCTGTGTGTGTGGTTATAACATTTCTAAAGGCCTTCAAACTAAGGAGTTGGATACTATGATCATGATTTAGTTCCTCAACCTTGTATACATGCTCTTCATCTACCCCGTGTGATTTCAACAAATGTTCATCTCTTGTGGTTATTATGATCTTACTACCTAAGCCAAACCAATCACGACTTCCAACTAATTTCTTTAATTGTTCCCCATTAACCACATCATCTAGAATAATAAGAACCTTTTTACAAGCCATTCTATTTTTTATCAAACTGATTCCATCATAGAAATTGTATATGTGAATATCGCCTTCCATTAGGATTTCTGAAAGAAGTTGCTTTTGTAGAGAAACCAAACCATCTCTTTGTTCTGAAACTTCTCTAACATTAGCAAGAAAACACCTTCCTTCAAATTCACCTAATATTGAATCATAAACAACTCTTGCAATTGTTGTCTTGCCTATTCCGCCCATTCCCCAAACCCCTATCATGCGGACATCATTAGACTTTACATCGATAAGCATCTTCATTTTCTCCAAATATGAATTTATACTTACCAAGTCGTTAAGATCCATACATGTTGGAAGACTTAATTTACTTGATATGTTTGTGACAATTTCTTTAATAAAGTCTGATTCATGCCTACAAATTGAAAAAGATCAATAAGAATTGTTACTATAGCATAGTTTCGTACATATTAATCTACAAATAAAATAGTACATCATACATATTCTCTATGTATAAGTAGCATTAGAATAAGAAGATTTATTTTTCCATTCTTGTTTATTTTTTGTAATTACTTTGCAAATAATGAGTGTTAAATTTATTTATTTATATTTTCTCTATAAAAATTCGTTAAATGTATGAGGTAGAAAAAAAATTATTCTAAGCAGAAAATTTTACAGCTAGTACTTAACATTTTGAGCAATATAGAAGTGGTGTTGCCATGTCACAAGATACTAATGTGTTCAAAACAATTAATTCTTTGTATAAAATAGTCGTCATTGATAAATAATTTATATTAAAAGAAATAATTGTTACCTATCCTTCAAATCCCATCCAGAAATATCAACCACCTTTCTCAAAGCAGCCCTCCACCTTTGCACTTTTTCCATATTCTTCTTGAAAGTCTCTTCATGTTTAGAAAATGCTTTTTGAAAGTTTCTCTTTTGGTTCCTTACCGTTGATGGATCTACATCATAGAAAATCGGAATGATGGTTTGTCCTATTTCTTCTCCACATTGAACAATCTTAACAACTTTATCCAAGCACCAAGTAGAAGAGGCATAGTTTCTTGAGAAAACAACAATTGACATCCTTGATTCCTCAATTGCTTGATACAGTTCTCTTGAAATGCTTTTTCCTCTCTTAAGTTTCTCATCATCAATAAATACTTTAATTCCTTTTTGCTTCAAATAATTATAACGATGATCTGTGAAACTCTTTCGAGTGTCTTTTCCTCTGAAGCTTAGAAAGACATCATATTTCCAACCCTTAGAAACATAATTAGAGGAAGAACGTGCAGATGAAGGAGTAGATGAAGAGACTCTTTGCATGTTCAATTCACCGTTTATGAAAGCAATTTAATCCTCTGCATGAAAACAGGAAAATTTTAAAGATAATTAAATTCTTGCTAACCAATATATATGTTTATTAGCTTGAATTACTCTCCATAAGATGAAATAATTGACATCTTAATTGTTATTGGAAAAAAAATTCAAAGATGTTATGCCTCGGAAAATAGAGCTGACGTGGCGCCTAGTTAAGTACGAAAGGTCAGACCTCGGGAAGAGTTTACCGACATTCTGGCGCAGCCGCATCGTGTGATCATGGGTACACCCACAGCCTGCTTCCATCAGAATAGTGGGTGCACATTGGGCTAGCCAGGAGCTGTGATGATCCCGCGTGTCCAATCCCTGCAGCAAGTCACGTGAATTACTCGAGAAGATGGGTAGTGTGACATAAAGAAGGATTTGCACGGATCATCCCATCAACTTACAGATTTAGTGATCATTACCTCTATGCATCCTACTATAAGTGGAGAGCTCCTCTCTCATCAAGGGGATTCGCACATTTTTACTTTTAACCAGTCTATATCTCTCTCTCTCTAGAATAGACAGCATTAGATACCTTGTATTACGATTGTAAAGTCAGTCAGGTAAAGCGACCTGACCCTTATCATCAATATAAGCATCAGTGGACGTAGGATTTGCTACCTTAGCATCCGAACCACTTTAAAAACTATACCCTTCGCATTTACTGTCATTTTCCTTTACATTCACGTGTCTTTTGGACCAGTTCAACATCTCACACGTGCGTTTCGTTGGTGTCAAAATCACGAATCAACAGTTTGGCGCTAGAAGGAAGGGCCTGATTTAGTGTTCATCCTTCATCAGGAGAATCTCCAATTTACTGATCCTACAACAACAAATGGCTCGCCAACCAGAACCTGAGCAAACCAACTAGGAAGCTGAGGGCTCCCCCAGTTCCAGGGGAACACTTCTTCCAAAAAACCTTTAGTCCCGCAAATGCTACAGGGGATATCCCGTTAAGTTCACAGCTTGAACCTGCCATTAGAAGCTACCTGGAGAGGTTTGACAATACTCTCCAGACGGTCAACCGAAGGTTGGACCGTTTGGACCAAGGCGTGCCATCCTAATCAACTACGGCGGTGCAACCGCCAAAAACGCCTGCAGGTCGCAAGAAAGTGCGGTGAAGGGAAATAGCCCATCCCACGAGCACTGCAGCGCGTAGACGAAAGGGTGAACAAGTGGCAAAAAACAAGCCCACGGGTTCTAAAGGGCCAGCGAAAACCGACCGCGTCCCAAACAGAACACCAGTCTCGTTGAAACTCGGTGAAAAGATGTAGCCCAAGCTGTCCCATGCCACGTCACCAGTACACACCCATAAAAGTGCTGACCGGGGCGATTCTTATCACCGCCAACAAAACGATCCTAATCATCACCGTGCAAGAGGGTCCCACACTTCGCGGGGCGGTTCTTACCACCGCGAAGGTCGTGAAAATACCCTGCACCTTTCATCGCCATCATATGCCTCTAGCCAGCGTGTGTCGAGAGTGGTCGGAACCGCCGACTGAGGCGAAGAGGAACCCGACCTCCAGACTTTCCTCAATCGTAATCGCAAGGGACGAACTCGCATGGGTGAAAGCAATCCCCAAGTAGCTCCATTGCCACAAATTGAGGAGCTACAGCGAGCTCTAGACAAACTAAGAGCTCAGCAAAATGAACAGGGGCAGGTCGCATCTGTGTCCCCTTTCTCTCCCGAAGTGTTAGCCGCTCCACTCCCACCAGGATTCAGGATGCCCGACATGCTGGCGTTTGATGGAAATTCTGATCCGCAGGATCACTTATATGAATTCAATGACTTGATGGAGCTCCACCAGGTCTCAGATTTGGCAAAATGTCAGTGTTTGGCAGTGACCTTAACTTCTCATGCCAAACGGTGGCTCAGGTCGCTCCCAGTGGGATCGATCAGCTCGTGGCCTCAGATGAGCACGACGTTCCTGAGACACTTTCAAGCGAACAGAAAGTTCTCAATACCTTTGAGCTACCTCAGCAACATAAGGCAAGAGAGGGATGAATCCCTCCAATCATATATAGACAGATTCCACAGAGAACTTAACAAAGTGGCTCACACTCCCGAGGAGTCTGTTCGAACTCTCATCATTGCAAGAGTTCGTCCACAAACTGACCTGTGGAAAGAGCTACAGGCTGAGGATGACGTTTCCCTCACCCATTTTTATAACCTCATGGAGAAGTATCTCCGTATTGAAAGTCCTGTAGTGGCACACCACCGTCGCAATCGCAGCACCTCAGGCAGTGCGCCTGGTCGGGAAGAAAGAATGAGAGTTGATCACAGATGGGCTCCTGACGATCAGCGAAAAGGGAAGAAGCCGCGCTATGAGCCCAAAAAGTCCTATGCCCCAGTTCCTCGTCGCGATAGCGATAGGAACTAATATACCCCCTTGAATGCATCTGTATCGGCCATTCTTGACAAATCAGAAGAGGCCAGTCTGCCAAGAATCGACCAGCTCGTGGATGCCACCTCGGAGCACGAGCTGCGAAGTTTCATGGACGCATACTCGGGATACAATCAAATTCCGATGTACGTACCGGACGAAGAGCATACTTCTTTTGTTACAGACCGGGGACTGTACTGCTACAAAGTTATGCCCTTCGGCCTCAAGAACGCTAGTGCAACTTACCAGTGACTGGTTAACCGGATGTTCTCCGAAACAGATAGGCAGATCAATGGAGGTCTACGTAGATGACATGCTGGTAAAGTCGCATGTCACTTCAAATCACGTAGCACATCTTGTTGAGGTGTTCGGCATCCTACAGCAGTACCGAATGAAGTTAAACCCCCTTAAATGTTCATTCGGAGTATCCTCGGGAAAGTTCCTAGGGTACATAGTTAATCAGCGGGGAATTGAGATTAACCCTGAAAAAATCCAAGCTTTCCTCGATATGAAGAGCCCGACTAGCAAAAAACAGGTCATGAGCCTAAACGGGCGTATAGCGGCACTAAGTCGTTTTATATCGAGGCTAACAGATCGCTGCTTGCCATTCTTTAATGTACTCAGAGCCAATAAAAAGTTCGAATGGACTCCTGAATGCAAACATGCCTTCCAGAGAATAAAATAACACCTCGGGAAGCCACCACTTCTGTCCAAACCTCTCCCGCAAGAGACCCTCCTTTTGTACCTGTTCGTCTCGCAGTTCGCGGTCAGTGCAGCTTTAGTTCGGGAAGAGAACAGAATGTAATGACCAGTAAATTACATGAGCAAGCGTCTACTGGATGCCTATGCCCTGCTAATCGCTTCCCGAAAGTTGCGACCTTACTTCCATGCCCATACAGTTCACGTATTGACTAATTACGTGCTCAGGCAGGTCCTCCAAAAACTAGAGGCATCAGGTAAATTGCTCAAATGGGCCATGGAACTCAGCCAGTTTGATCTCTATTACAAACCAAGAGCAACTATTAAAGGGCAGGCTATTACTGACTTCATATCAGAGTTCTCGCATCATCCAGCGAACGAATCGGAACAGCCCAACGAAGTCATCCAGAAAACTATTCAAAATCTCTCGACCTGGACCCTCTATGTCGATGGATCATTGAACAGAAAGAGGGTCAGAGTGGGTCTTCTCTTGTTGAGTCCCGAAGGGCCCGTATTCATGGCATTCTCTGGTTCGATTTCAAAGCAACCAGTAATGAGGCCGAGTATGAAGCTCTGCTCGCTAGACTCAGGTTGGCCAGGGAAATGGCCGCAACCGTGATCAGCATCCACAGTGACTCCATGCTGGTCGTTAACCAGATTTTGGGAGAGTACCAACCCGAGGAAGATAACTTGATCAATTATCTGAAGGAAGCTAATGCCGCACTCGAGCCGTTCAAGCACTTTATGATCACTCAGATTCCTAGAGAGAACAATTTTGTGGTGGACGCCTTGGCAAGAATAGCCTCATCATTGGACTCGGATGCATCGGAGAACATTCCTATTCGATTCATCGAAATCCCCAATGTCAGCCCGATCGAACAGGCCGTGAATGTAACGGGTTCAAACTCATGGATGACCCCCATTATTCGGTATCTCAAAGATGGGACCTTACCTAATGACAAGGTCGAGGCAAGAACCCTGCGAACAAGATCTGCCCATTACACCCTCATCGGAGATCAGTTGTACAGGCGAGGGTTCAGTGCCCCTCTCCTCCGATGTGTAAATAACGAAGAGGCGGATTATATCATGAGAGAGATACACGAAGGGATCTTCGGTAATCACACCGCCGCACGATCTCTTGCTAACAAAGTTGTTCGCCAAGGGTACTACTGGCCCTTGATCTAGGAAGACACCTATAACTTTGTCGAAAGGTGTGATAAGTGTCAGCGGTATGCGAACATATCGCAAGCTCCCTCCCACAAACTGATAACTATGACTAGCCCCTGGCCTTTTTCCATTTGGGGGATCGATCTCATCGGTCCCATGCCAGTCAGGAAAGGGGGAGTCAAATATGCCGTGGTCACGGTAGATTACTTCACCAAATGGGTAGAAGCCGAACCGCTAGCCACGATCACGACCAGAAAACTCAAAGACTTCATTTTCAAGAATATCGTGTGCCGCTGCGGAATTCCTCATACCCTCATCTTGGATAATGGGAAATAGTTTGACAACGAGGTATTCAAGCAATTTTGCGGCGAGCTGGGCATCCATAAAAATTTCGCCTCAGTCGCAAGACCACAAGCAAATGGCCAAGTTGAAGCTGTCAACAAAACCATCAAGCACACTCTAAAGGCCAAACTTGGCGCAGCCAAAGGGAATTAGGCCGACGACCTCCCTAAAGTCCTATGGGCGTACAGAACAACTCCAAGAACCTCCACCTCAGAAACACCTTTTTCGCTAGCATACGGATGCGAAGCGATGATCCCTGTAGAGGTAAGAATTGGTTCACTTCGGAGGGACTTGTACAATGAGGCCGACAACAAAGCACTTATGAGAGCAAGCCTAGACCTTGTTGAAGAATATCGCAGCAAGACTTCG